ATGGTGGTGGTGACGGTGGCGGTCGCGGCTGCTGTGGAGGGTGGCGCCGGTGGGGTTGGCGGTGGTGGGGATGGCGATGGCAAAGCCGGCGATACCGGAGACGGGGAGATGGAGGTGGCGGTGATGGGGGCCGGGGGCGGCGCCTGAGGATTACGCCGCGGCCGCCGCAACTTGGAGCGCGCCCCGGGAGCCGGGACGTGCACGAAGCCGCGGGAGCGGGCTTGCGACGGCGGCGCCCGACAAGGCCTCCTCCACTCGCGCGCCGCCGGCGCTGTGGTCAGACTGCGGTTTGCTGCGTGGGGAGGGAAATGTGTCACGCGTGTCGATTTGTGCACGACCGTGCTAGTTGGGCCTCGATGCAATCCGTGTGATGCACGAAAGCTATCGGGTTGGATCAAGCGATGCTACAATATATGTGTGGCTTGTCGTTGATGTTAAGAGGGATGCCGTGAAATATCTCCGGTGGTTGTACACGGGATTTCGGTATTTCTTGGTGATCGTTCCAAAAAATTGAACAAAAAGTTATTTGTAAATTTGGAATAATATTTTCGTTACTTTATTGAGTAATTTTTTGAATGTATTTACAATGTATATTCCTGTTGCCTCAATATTGTTTAGAGATGTTTCTTTTCTAGCTTATTTTCCTCAAAATAATATTGTTGCCAATGTTTAATGGATAAAATTATATTTTGCAATTCTAATATCTATGGGCAATACCTTCTGCACTTCACGCAATTTGATGGCATGCAACGAACCAGCAATTATTATAATAGTATTGTAATAAAGTCTAACATAATTTCTCGCAACGATATTCCACAAATTATACCACACATTTTAATAGGCACATAGAATATTTTATTCATCTTACAACAACCCGTCAGAAAAAATAAATATTTTTTTCGTTATAAGATGCTTAAACATATCTTCTTGGCGTGCGTACCCTGGCGTTTTTCGTCTGTGCGCTGGGCCATTGCGAGCGCTTCTTATCGCGCAATGGGTCGCATCGCGTTGCTTCGTGGAGCCTTCTGTCGAGAGTGGCGCCATCTGAACGGCCTCATTCCATTTGATATCCTCTCAGCTTGTTATTCCGTCATCGAATAAACAGATGATGGGGAAAATTGAAAACAACTGAAGGAATGATGGATATTTTGAAGTACTTCGTTAAGTGATTTGAATAAATTGGTGGTTCCCTGCATACACAAATCCCGAAGTCTTCCGATAACTGGATATAAAATGGCGAAATCTCCGACGCAAAGAAATGCAGTTCTCTATGTATTTGTGTTTAAGAATCTTTTTTCGTCCTGTTCGTACACCCCTTAACTAAATTGCTTTTCCTGGTGTTATTTCAACATCACACTTTTGATTATATATTTGTTTTTGCACCTGTGAAAAATCTCAGATCACCTAGAGTGGAAAACATTTACATATGAAACAATTCGCATAATGCAAATTGTTGCAAAACGTAACGTGTTGAGACTGATTATTGGAAGAATCGAGTCAGGAGCTAAGCTGGGAGGCAAGTAATTCGACCGTGAATATTTCGAAATACATTATTCTAATATTTTTTCAAGTGACTGCCAGAAATGCTTTAGAAATTTCCTGAATATGCTTGCATTAGTTAAAAGATAATCCACTTCTAAGAAGCTTGATACTAAATATTTTAATTCTTCCTTCAAAACACATCAACTTTTTAAAACAATACGCAATGAAATATCTCAGTAAAAACACGGACTTGCTTGAAAAACAGAAACTAATGTTTTAATCAAATTGTTTTACAAAATGCAAACTTATGGTGTTGCTATATTGCTGGACCTTCTTTCTGGGTTATCTCATTGTGGAGCACCCCTGGATTTGGCGTTCTTTTTCCCACCCCACCCCGTCTATTTAATATCTCTCTCTCTCTCTCTCTCTCTCTCTGTCTCTCTCTCTCTGTCTCTCTCTCTCTTTCCCCTCCCGCCTCTCCTCTTCACTCTTCACCTGCGACATCTCCACTGCAGCAGCCGTCAGAGTGCCGGGGAAATTACAATACTAAAAACGAATGCGCCCGAAATTTTAATTACATTATGCAAAACGAGAAACGGGCGTCGGGAAATTAAAACTAATGCCGGAGGACGCCCCCGGCTAGTTTGCAGCCATTGTTCTGATTTGCGGAAAGCAGCTCTAAGCAACAGGAAGCTCCACGATACAGGAAGGAAGCCGTTTGAGCGACAGTGGTAGCCGACGTGCAGGAATAATTGAAGATATTAGAAGGGTACAGTAATGAAGTAAAAAGAAAGGCAATTTGCGTATACTCCAATTTAAAACTTTCAAGAATCTCGTCTGCGTTTTAATGTTTAACATTTTTCAAACAGATTTTGTAAACAGATGTCAAACTATGAGTGTTTCAACATAGCATTTTGACCTCGAGAATTCAGTGCGCTGTAAAGCTGCCAGGAGCTGCCATCAGAGCCTTTGGGCATCGAGGCATGGATTAAAAAAGTTCCTGGCTATGTTACTGGCGAACACACCGGCCCGCCGTTTCTGTGCATGACCACAAAACATCGACAGTGACTGCAGGAGGACGAGAACGAACAAGTTGCCGACCCATCAAGACCATACAAGACACGCTCGATGGACGACATCTCTGGCGAACGCTCATGCCGGGGAAGCAGTGGTACTCATAGTTCTTCGCAGACAGCTTGCACATTTCTCGTAAGACGTCGGGCATTGTCCCGCTGCAATATGGCACATCGATCTGTAAGAGAGGCAGTTCGAGCTTTAAAACCTCCCTGATGTAGCTTTTGGTGTTCTGATCGCCCTCAATACGTATGATGCGTGATTGCACATTGTAGTCAATGGCGCCCCAAACCACCACACTTGGCGTTTGTCTGTTATGGCGCGAAACAATGCTGGTTGATAGATTGCAATCACCATGGAATCGTCGAACACCATCGCTGTAGCATAAATTGAAGCGGGACTCAACCGAAAACACCACATTTTGCCAGCACACCTCTGAGCACATTCACATGCCCATTGCTGTCTCAGGCGCTGGTGGTTTCTGTCAACGGAATTCGACGCGGTGGCATGCGTGCCCTCAGCGGACGGCGAAGAACCGTCAACGCAGACATGGCGACACCCGTTGCAGTGCTCCAAATTCGAGCCAATACTGTAGGCGACGCTGATCTATCGGTTACAGCCATGAAAGCAAAATGGCGGTCATCTCACGCGGTGGTCACATTGTGTGGCCCAGTACCCGATCGTCGCTGTGCACGACTCTCTTCTATGCACTGGTTCCACACACGCATCAGTGTCGTAGCAGCGCGCACCATTCAAGCCGCAATGTTACGATACGACCAAACCGCTTCTCGGAGACCGATCATTCTGCCCCGTTAGAACTCACTCAGATGCTTATATTGCGCTCTTTGGTGTCGACGAAGCAACCGACATTTACTTGCACGTTTTCACGTCGTTTGTCGACTCTACACCGACTGAGTGAGGAGTAACGCTGATCTGATCTGTCACAGAAAGAAGGGGGCTGATAAGACAACGTGAACGCAATGTGTATGGAAATTTAATCACCTCTTGTGGGTACACTATTCTACTCATTCTCCGATTTCCGACCTTTCCTTCGGGATGTTGCAACTTTCACAAACGTCAGTGTATTTTAGTATTATTAATGCAATTTTTGTCTGTCGAATTAAGTCATAATATTGAAGCAACTATTTATACTTACAATAAATATACTACACTAGAAATAGAAACATATTTCATGGTTCTTTGCGAGAATGGCTTAGAGAAGTGAACGGAGATAAGACACGGTTTTAACACAGAAAAGAGACATCCACAAGGTGTTTGCAAGGTGGTGTGAGAGGAGACTTACGGCAATCATAAAACGTGAAACAGTCGAATGCAAAATACGATGACCTGAGAAGCCTCTAAACACGAAACCTTATTTGCACATCGTAAATTTTACAATCTTTCGCCGCGAACTATTAAATTTCCAAAGGAAAACATTCCGCATTTTCAGTTCGCGGGTGCCATATATCCTTCGAGCGTCCAATCGTTCAGCACCAAAGCAGCCTTTCTAGACCACGAGTGTACGTACCGTTCGATTGAGTTTGCACGAGTGCTGCAACGCGTGAGCCGTATACAGAGAAACAGCTCAATCCGTCAGACGGAACATGAGATCCGCACCTGCGACATGTCAGCCCCTGCGACAAAATATCGAAGATTCTTTCCGTACGGGAGACCAGGAGCGGAGGCGCCGCCGCAGGCATTGCCGTCGTGTGGACTGCGAAGGGAGGGGCGGACGGCCGAGGCGCTGTAAGTGAACTGGTGGGAGAGGGGTAAGTGGGGGTGGGCGAGCGGCTAGAGAGGGAGTACGGGAGAGTTGGTGAGTTGGAGGAGGAACGTACGGGATGTGAATGGCGGGGCTGATAAATATGCGGGGGCGGATAAATGGAATGGAAGGAAGGGTGGTTAATGAATGAGTGGGTAGGTAAATTGACAGGACTGGAAAGTGATCAGGTGAAGGGGTAAGTAGACACGGGGGCGGG